GAGATTAATGTCATCAGCAAATTTTGCTAATTTAATGTAAATCAGAAAAAGCAATGGCTCCAGCTCTGACTTCTAAGATAAGTACTACACTACCAATAAGCATAATTTGGCTGGACTCAAATACCAACCTTTTGCTTTCTCTCATCCAGCCACCCTAAAATCAAATTAACTAATTTTTTCACAACCCTACTCAAGTGAGGCCTGGCATGGCCAGGTGGTTAGGCCGCTCAACTTGCAATCTGAGAGTTGCGGGTTTGAATCTCCGTCACACAAACATGCTCGCCTTTTCAGCCGTGGGGGCGTTATAATGTGACGATCAATCCCACTATTCATTGGTAAAAGAGTAGCCCAAGAGTTGGAGGTGAGTGGTGATATCTAGCTGCCTTCCCTCTAGTCTTACACTGCTAAATTAGGGACGGCTAGCGCAGATAGCCCTCGTGTAGCTTTGCGCGAAATTCATAACAAACAAACAATACTGATGTGATTTTCTTATTTAACCATGTGTGTGTGTGTGTGACACCTTTATATATAAAGCTTTTTTTAAAATCTAATTATACGAAGTCCACATCCTTTCCATTGTCCAAGAACATGAGTAACATCCTAAAAAATATAACATATTAGCAAGACAATATTTTATTTTGATGAATCTGTTTTGACTTTAATTTGTGATATCATAGTTTACAAAATTATCTTGTAAAGTTGGTTTTATCAGACTCTACAATTTTTTCCACTACAGAAGAAAGATTAACTGGCCTAAAATTTCCAGAGCAACTCTTATCACCCCTTTTAAAAATAGGAATAACATTAGCAACTTTCCAATCATCAGGCACATTGTCTATTGACCTATCAAAAATGAATGAGAGAGGCTTGTAGATGAGATCTTTATTTACTTTTAATTTCTCATTCTTTCTAAACACTACCAAGGGATTAATATCTACTTAATTCAGGTAAATCCCAATATTTCCTATATAAAGCTCAGAGTTGGAAATATTGCTAATATCTTTTCTTGTAAAAGCAGAAGAGAAGAACCAGCCATATCGTAGTCTTGGACATAAACTTTGCTATCAGCATCATTTAATGGGCCCAATTTAAACATTTTGCTTATCTTTAACATACTTAAAAAATACTTGCTGTTAATTTTAAATTTACCAACCACCTGTTTCTCTAAGCTCTTTTGGATTTCCTAATTTCATTTTAACTAAATACCATTTGAATAGATGTAAAAATTGTACACATTCATTATTTTAAGTTAATTTTCTTAATTTAGCAGCTAATACAGTAATTCATTAGCCATTTCGAGATGGGTCATGGGTGAAAGGCCATGTCATCTCGTTTGTTGATTCCCATTCAAAATTTTATTGAACTACTATTTTATGAATTTATATCAATAATTTTGGTATCAAACTATAGATTATAATTCAAAGTTTAGTACTATACATTACTCAATTTCTTAATTTTAAAGTAAATATTAAAAAACACTGATAAACATTGATTTCTGTTTGTCACGTGGTATGGTG